CTCTCGTTAAAGGCGGACCCCTTGGCGTAGCTCTGCACGGACCCCTCCTCCACCAGGAACCTCATCCTCTGGAAGAAGGAGGCGGTGACGGCGGGGGGTTGCTTCCTCAGCAGGATGTCGATGGGGTCAGTCGAGGTCAGGCAGAGCGTCGAGTGCTGACAGGCGGGGTCGGAGCAGCATTCGGCGTCAGCACAGTCGACCAGCCCGTCTGTGGGGGGGAGGAAGCAGGGGGGTGTCAGACGGGGTCAGCTGGGGTTTGAACTGACGGAAGGTGAGGGGGGTTAGCAGGGGAGTCAGACGAGGGTCAGCTGGGGACGGACTGACGGGAGGGGGAGGGGGTTAGCAGGGGGGAGTCAGCCGTGGGTCAGGTAGAGTTTGAACTGACGGAGAGGGGGAGGGAGGGTCAGCAGGGGAGACTCAAAAGCAGGGGTTCAGGCGAGGGTCAGCTGGCGTTTGAACTGCCGGAGGGGGGGGGGAGGGAGAGTCAGCAGGGGAGACTCAGAAAGCAGGGAGTCAGCAGCAGACGTCCAGACTAGCTCGAGGGGCGCGCACGGCTGACGGATGTTTAGTCGTCAGCACAAAAGGTATAAGGTATTTCGCCAGAGGAGAGAGGGATATTAGAATTGAGAGGGGGAAAGGGGAGGAGAGAGAAAGAGGGAAGAAGGGGAGGAGAGAGAAGAGGGGAAGAAGGGGAGAGAGGAAGAGGGGAAAGGGGGGAGGAGAGAGGGATATTAGAATTGAGAGGAGGGAAGAAGGGGAGGAGAGAGGAAGAGGGAAGAGGGAGAGAAGAGGGGAAGAAGGGGAGGAGAGAGGAAGAGGGGAAAGGGGGGAGGAGAGAGGGATATTAGAATTGAGAGAGGGGAAGAAGGGGAGGAGAGAGGAAGAGGGGAAAGGGGGGAGACTAGAATTGAGAGGAGGGAAGAAGGGGAGGAGAGAGGAAGAGGGGAAAGGGGGAGAGAGAGGGATATTAGAATTGAGAGGAGGGAAAGAAGGGGAGGAGAGAGAAGAGGGAAGAAGGGAGAGAAGAAGGGGGAAAGGGGGAGGAGAGAGAGGATATTAGAATTGAGAGAGGGGAAGAAGGGGAGAGGAAGAGAGGGGGGAGGAGAGAGGAGAGGGAAGGGGAGGAGAGAGGAAGAGGGGAAAGGGGGGAGAGAGGGAGAATTGAGAGAGGGGAAGAAGGGGAGGAGAGAGGAAGAGGGGAAGAGGGGGAGGAGAGAGGAAGAGGGGAAAGGGGGGAGGAGAGAGGAAGAGGGGAAGAAGGGGAGGAGAGGGGAAGAGGGAAGGAAGGAAAAAAAGAAAAATGGGGAGAAGGAGAAGGAGAAGGAATAGAAGGAAGGAAGCTAGAAGAGGAGGAGAGGCGAGGAAAAAGGAAACAGGAGGTGGAGGAGGAGGAGAAAGATGAAGAGAGAGAAAGAAAGAAAAAAAAAGGATGGAGAGAGGTAGGAAAAGAAGGGACTGAGAGAACAGCATGAAGACGAAGAGGAAGAGGAGGAGGAGCAAGAATAAAGGGTGAAAGAGGAACGAAGAAGAATTATGGAAAGCAAGGGAGGAACAGATGGCTTCTTATTAGTCTTTCCAGCTGCCTTGCTCTTAAGGAATCCCAGATTATCTAATCAAAGAAACAACATTCACAAAGCGAGCACACACACACACACATACACGCACACACACACCACGCAGCAAACACACACACACACGCACACACACACCACACCACGCAGCAAACACACACAACAAACACACACACACACACACAATAAACGCACACACACTCACATACGAACATACACCACACCACACAACAACACACACACCACAGCAAACACACACACACAACCCCCCCCCCACATACACAAACACCACAACCCCCCCCCACATACACAACACACAACAAACAAACAAACACACACACACAACAAACACACACCCACACACACACACAACAACCCCCCCCCCCCACACCACACACACACACACACACACGCGCGCGGTGCACAGCGAAGCGAGGGAACAAACCCAGATTCGCGAGGTGCATCAAAGGCTTCCCTAAATACGTAATATTACCCGAGGTCAAAGAGGGAGGGGGGGAGGGGGAGGGGGGGCGGTAACCTAGGAAAGAAGGGACGTTTCTGACCAGACGGATATTAATTCAGTCCTCCTAAACCAGGCCCTCGCTACCAAAGGCGGCCGGGGATATATATATATATATATATATATATATATATATATATATATATATATATATATATATATATATAGATAGATAGATATATAATGTATGTATATATATGTATATATATGTACATATATGTACATATATGTATATATATATATATTATATATATATATATATATATATATATATATATATATATGTATGTATATATATGTATATATATGTACATATGTACATATATGTACATATATGTATGTATATATATACATATATATATATATATATATATATATATATATATATATATATATATATATATATATATATATATATATATGTATATATATATGTATATATGTATTGTATATATTATATATACATACATATATATATATATATATATATATATATATATATATATATATATATATGTGTGTGTGTGTATGTATGTATGTATGTAAGTATGTATTTATGTATGTACAATGTGTGTGTGTGTGTGTGTGTGTGTGTGTGTGTGTGTGTGTGTGTGTGTGTGTGTGTGTGTGTGTGTGTGTGTGTGTGTGTGTGTGTGTGTGTGTGTGTGTGTGTGTGTGTGTATGTGTTATCGTGTGTGTGTTATCGTGTGTGTGTTATCGTGTGTGTGTTATCATGTGTATGTCCCTTATCATCATCCATCCTCATTATTCCCATCCTCATCCTCACCATAACGACGACCATCACAACCAACAACACACCGCCCTCACCATTGTCATTGTCCCTGTTGTCCGCGCACTGCGTCTCCAGCTTGACCGAGCAGTCGTGGCCCTCCCAGCCGTCCTGGCACTGGCACTTCCACTCCTCGTCCTCGATCACGCAGGACCCGTGCTTCGAGCAGGCACCGGGGCAGCCGGCCAAGGTGCAGTGCCGCCCGTTCCAGCCCGTCATGCAGATGCAGGTGCCGTTCTTGCACTGGCCGTGTTCCTCGCACCTATTGCAGGGGTTGCGAGGGAGAAAAGGTCAGACTGGGGCTGGCTATTGCAAATTGTTGTTTTTATTATTATTATCGTATTATTATTTTATTATTATTATTATTGTTGCAAATATTTTTTTTTTATTATTATCATCATGTAGGTTTTTCGGAGAGAGAAATAAGTGTGAAGCTTATCACTGCAAATTGTTGTTTTTTATTATTATTATTATCGTGTAGGTTTTTCGGAGAGAAAAATGAATGTGAAGTTTATTATTGCAAACATATATATTTTTCAAATAATAATTATTATTTATTTTTTCGGAGAGAGAAATAAGTGTGAAGTTTATTATTGCAAATATTTTTTATTATTATTATTATCATGTAGGTTTTGCGGAGAGAGAATATATTGTGGTTTATTATTGCAAATATTTTTTTATTATTATTATTATCATGTAGGTTTTGCGGAGAGAAAAATGAATGTGAAGTTTATTATTGCAAATATTTTTTTTTATTATTATCATCATGTAGGTTTTTCGGAGAGAGAAATAAGTGTGAAGCTTATCACTGCAAATTGTTGTTTTTATTATATTATTATTATCGTGTAGGTTTTTCGGAGAGAAAAATTAATGTGAAGTTTATTATTGCAAATATATATATTTTTTAAATAATTATTATTATCTATTTTTTTCGGAGAGAGAAGTAAGTGTGAATATTATTGCAAATAGTTTGTTTTTTAATCATTATTATCATGTAGGTTTTGCGGAGAGAGAAATAAGTGTGAAGCTTATTATTGCAAATAGTTTTTTTCATTATTATTACCATGTAGGTTTTGCGGAGAGAGAATAAATTGTGGAGTTTATTATTGCAAATATATATTTTTTAAAATATTACCATGTAGGTTTTTCGGAGAGAGAAATAAGTGTGAAGCAATTATTGCAAATATTTTCTTTATCATTATCATGTAGTTTTTTTCGGAGAGAGAATCCATAGTGTGAAGTTTATCATCGTCTCAATTGCAGTGTTTTTTTTTTTTTTCCTTTCTTTAATTATTATTGCAGGTTATTCGGAGAGAGAATTAAGAGCGTAAAGTTTATGATCGTCTGAGTTGAAAAAAAAATAGTGTGAGATTATCTTTTTTTTCTTTAATTATTATTGAATTTATTTATATCAAAATTTATTTATAACAAAAACTTATTTCCGTGCTATGTACTGCCGAAGCAAAATCATAACAATAATCATAAAAAGACCTGTAGTCATAATTCTAATACGCTTGTTTACATTCTTTATTCTGCTTGAAAAAAACCGCCAAAAGACCTGTAGTCATAATTCTAATAACCTTATTTACCTTTTTCATTCCCAGTTTGAAAATCCCGCCAATTTCCCATACCCATAACCACCTGTATAAGGAAAACAAACAAAGGCAAATAAAAAAATAAATAACTATCGCCAATCCTCCAAAAAGGGGACAAGGAATCCTACCGAAGGGAATCTAATCCCACCCAGATGTGATCAGGATCCCTTATTGGCTATAAGATGGAGGAAAGCGAGAGGACTGATTGGATGGGAAAGATAAATGCTGGATAGATAGATAAATGGTAGATAAAGAGATACATGTAGATAGATATAAAGATATAAGGATATCTAGATGGATATATAGATAGATAGGTATGCAAATAAATAAAAGATGAAGAGAAAGATATAAAGATAGACTGATTAAAAAAAGACAAATTGAAGGATAAAGAGAAAGTAAAGAAATGGCGAAAATTTAGGAACAAAAAGAATAGTTAATCCCATCATCTCTTTCACCTCTTCCTCTTTTAATTCCATCACCTCCTCCTCTTCCACCTCCACCACCACCACTCCTTTCAACTCCTCCTTCTTTTCCACTTCCACTCTTCTTCTTCTTCATCATCTTCTTCTTCTTTCTTCTTCTTCTTCTTCTTCTTCTTCTTCTTCTTCTTCTTCTTCTTCTTCTTCTTCTTCTTCTTCTTCTTCTTCTTCTTCTTCTCTCCTTCTTCTTCCCCTTCTCTTCTTCTCCTTTTCCTTCTCCTTCTCTTCTCCTTCTCCTCTTCCTTCTCCTCCTCCACCTCCTCCTCCTCCTTCTCCTCTTCCTCTTCCTCCTCCTCCTCCTCCTCCACCTTCTCCACTGTATAGAAGTGTGGAAAGATTTGCAATTTCCGCTTTCATATCTTGCAATACAAGCGACAAGAGTGGAGAGAATTGAGGGGGGGGGGGGAGAGAAGAATAAGGGGAGAGGAGGGAGAAGGAAGAAGGAGTATAGGAAGACCGGTGGAGAGGGGGAGAAGGAAGAGGAGGAGAGGGGAAGAGGGGGGGAGGGGGAGAAAGGAGAAGGAAGAGGGAGAGAAAGGATGAGGGAGAGAGGGGGAGAAGGAAGAGGGGAGAAGGAGAAGGGAGAGAGGGGGGAGGAGGAAAAGGAAGAGTGGGGGAGAGGAGAAGGGAGAGGGGGAGAGGAAGAGGAGAGAGGGGGAGAAGGAAGAGGGAGAGAGAGAAGACCGGCAGAGGAAGAGAGGGGGAGAAGGAAGACCGGCAGAGGGAGAGAGGGGGAGAAGGAAGACCGGCAGAGGGAGAGAGGGGAGAGAAGGAAAGAGCGAGAAAGGGGGAGAAGGAAGAGGGGAGAAGGGGGAGAAGGACCAGAGGAGAGAGGGGGGAAGAGGAAGAGGAAGAGGAGGAAGGACGAGGGGGGGGAGGTCGATCCAGGTCAAATAAGATTATGTTCCTCCATTGGATGTTTTAATTGACTACGAGATGATGCGCCGGATTCTGCCTCTCGTGGCTGGTGACGCTGCGTGTCGTGGGAGCAGAAGGGAGTGGGGGAGGGAGGGAGGGAGGAGAGGGAGGGAGAGAGGCAGGGAGGGAGGGAGGCAGGGAGGCAGGGAGGGAGGGAGGGGAGGAGGGAGGGAGGGAGGGAGAGAAAAAGAGAGGCAGACAGGGAAGGAGGGAGGGAGGGAGGGAATGGAATAGAGTGGAGCTGAGAGGGAGGGAGGGGGAGGGAGGAGCGAAAGAGAGGCAGGGAGGAGGAAGGGAGGGAGGGAGGAGAGAGAAAGGCAGAGAGGGGAGGAAGGGAAGCAAGGGAAGCTGGGAGGAGGAAGGGAGGGAGAGCGAGAACGAGCGAGCGAGAGAGAGAGAGATAAAGAGGAAGGAAAAGAGAAGAGAAAACAAGAAAAGATCAATAAAAAACACAATAAAACATAACTGAAAGAAAAGAGAGCGAGAGAAAGGATAAAGAGAGTTAAGAACAAAAATAAATAAATAAAATAAATAAAATAAATAAAAAATAAAAATAAAAAATAAATAAAAATAATCATGATAAAAAACATAATGAAGACAAAGATACCTATAACGGCATAGTCTACATAACAAATACAACATAACCGCAAAAAAAACCTTGCGTCTTCAACATCTACATAATACACAACTAGCTGTCAATTCTTTCATGAAGCGGCGTCTTATATAAAACGTCGAATTAAAAAAATCATCAAAAAAATGTTTCATTTTTCAGAAGGACATCATTTTTTTCTTCTCTCTCTCTTTAATACAAAAAAAAGTTGAAAAGATTTGTCGAGGCAAGCCATGTTTGATCTTTTATATATATATATATATATATATATATATATATATATATATATATATATATATATATATATATATTGTTTTTTCTTTCTCATGGCGGAAAAAAAAATGTTGTGTCGGGATATACACTTATACTCACACACACACACACACACACACACACACACACACACACACAACACACACACACACACACACACACACACACACACACACACACACACACACACACACACACACACACACACACACTACACACAAAGAAAGTAGAAGAGAAAGAAAAGGAAAATATAGAACAGAAAAGTGGAAGGGAGAGAGAGAAAAAAAATCGAAAGGCAGAAAAAGAAAAGGAAAAGGAGAGACAGAAAGCAACAAGGAGAAAAGGGGGAAGAGAGAGAGGAAGAGAGAGTGGAAGGGAGAGTGGTAGAGAGAGTGGAAGGGAGAGTGGAAGGGAGAGCGGAAGGGAGAGCGGAAGAGAGAGTGGAAAGAGGGAGTGGAAGAGGAGTGGAAGAGAGAGTGGAAGAGAGTGTGGAAGAGAGAGTGGAAGAGAGAGAGGAAGAGAGAGTGGAAGAGAGAGTGGAAGAGAGAGTGGAGGAGAGAGTAGTAAGAGAGAGTAGTAAGGGAGAGTGGAAGGGGAGGAAGGGAGGGAAGGGAAGAAACATAACGAAGGAAGAGTGGAAGAGGGAGAGGAAGAGGAAGGGAGAGTAGTAAGAGAGAGTGGAGGAGAGAGTGGAAGGGAAGGAGCATAACGAAGGAAGAATGGAAGAGAGAGAGAGGAAGAGAGAGTGGAAGGGAGAGTAGCAAGAAAGAGTGGAAGAGAGAGTAGTAAGAGAGAGTAGTAAGGAAGAGTGGAAGAGGGGAAGGGAAGGAGCATAACGAAGGAAGAGCGGAAGAGAGAGAGGAAGGGAGAGTAGTAAGAAAGAGTAGTAAGGAAGAATGGAAGAAAGAGTAGTGAGAGAGAATAGTAAGAAAGAGTGGAAGGGAAGGGGGAGGAGCATAACGAAGGAAAAGCGGAAGAGAGAGTAGTAAGAGACAGTAGTAAGAGAGAGTAGTAAGGAAGAATGGAAGAGAGAGAGGAAGAGAGAGTGGAAGGGAGAGTAGCAAGAAAGAGCGGAAGAGAGAAATGGAAGAGAGAATAGTAGAAAGAAGTGGAAGGGAGGGAAGGGGAGAGGCATAACGAAGGGGAACGGGAGAGTCCTAAGGTATCCTAGGGGCTCCTGACACGCGCAGATTAATGAGGTCTGGGCACATCCTATTGGAAAACTTTGGCGGGGCTTCCAGGAATCAGTTAAGGAGGCACAAGTTTCGCGTGGGAGGGAGGAGGGAGGGAGAGGGAGGGAGGGAGGGAGAGGAGGGAGGGAGGAGAGGAGGGGTGGGATGGAGAGGAGGGAGAGAGAGGGAGGGAGGGAGGGAGGGAGAGGAGGGGA